CTTCAGCCTTTCATACCAAAGAGTCCTTGTTTGGCATAAGCATCACTACTCACAGTTATACAGTGATGGAGCATATGCAATCTGTGAATATTATGCAAGCGGGGGCAACAACAGAGGATGACTATTTTGGCCGTACAAATAGCTACAATCAAGTGATAGTGAAGTCACGGCGCGCCTGCAGGGAGGGCCTGGACATAACAGGCCCAACCTCTCCGGCTTGGACTTGCATAAGCATTGCTAAGCCCATGACACGGTACGTCAGAGTCGAGGTGGAACCTGAGGCATCAATGTCAGATCACATTTCCGTATAATTGTAGTGTCACTAGATTGATGAGTAGTCTGCCCTGAGATGTTACTCAGCGGTTAAAAATGCTGTAACCACTAAAGTGGATTGTGTCCAAGCTCACAAATGAGGATACTATTGTACTAGGGAGAACGATGTCCTATGAGTGATGTACATTCTACCCAAAGTGGCAACTCTGATGTGTTGATGTGGGTTGTAATCGAAAAGCTCCAACCGTGAAGACCTCTGTAACATGTATGATTGTATTGTGGGAGCTGTATGGGAGGAGGCAGTAGACCGTAACTATACTACCTAGGAAGAGACACAATGCAAGCAAGGGGGGAATAAACATGTGGCTGATCAACAAGTGCCGAACGCCAAGAATGCTTTGGGCGCCTGGGTCCGGGCAGGGACCCAGAGACGGGGGCCCTCCCGATCTCAAAAGTCAGAACTGGCGCAGATATAAGCAACATATGCAGTTCTTGCTAAATGTCAATCAAACATACCGGAACATCTGACGGGAGACACAGGGTCGTCGGGAGGCTGAAAAGGCCTTGCATGGAAATGATGAGTGAGACGTGGGCCATCTGGAAAGGAGGCATGAGAGGTTCTCGCCAACAGGACCAGTACGATCTTTATAGCAGGTGTAACCATAGAGGGAGTATCTTGGGAGGGATAACATTGGCTGAGTGTGGAGGAACATTATCTTACTATACTAATTGGATAAAACACAACAGGTCTACCCCTAGACAAACTATGGTAATGAGTTGGTGAAAAGTCGTGACAGGCCAGGGGAATCAAGCTAAGAGGTAGAAGTCCTGAGCCAACGGCAGACCAGTTGCACAGCCTAGCCTGATAACAACGCATCAGACATCAGAGCGCGCTCTGACGCATATAACAGAGGCAGCCTAGAGGAGCCCGACTGGCACAGGAACCCAAGTTGACAGTCATCTCATCTTGACATTGTTTCTTACCGGCGCATGACTCATGGTATGAGCGTTAGCACGAACTACCGAGTCGCCCTGGATCAGATATACCCAGCAACTGTCCATTAAGGAACAAAGCAGAGGCAGGGTAGGGAAGCTTGGATAATAAAGACCAATTGCCTAGCCAAGGTGTCGTTGACTCAAAGTCCTGGAAAGAATTTTGTTGATAGCATATACTCCTTATTATGACCAGATAACCAGTATTGGCTCAAGGCTAAAGCATGGGTACGAGCAATGCATCTATGCTATGAAGGAAATGGTAGAAACATATAGAAGACAGAAATCGCACTGTTCTGATTGATTTTTGTGAATGCCTCTAAGGTTTTGGAACCGAGTAACCCATCATAAACAGTTTATTTGAAATTGAGACAAAAGAAAGGGTTGCCCAACAGTATAGAATTAGGATCCTGAGCTATATCGGGTAATGCCAACCAGAGCGATGGCGGATCAAATGGAGGAAGCAGTCTCGCGCATTGGGATGTTGTATGGAGTCCGCCAGTGGGGGCTCTTCTCTCAACATGCCTTTTAATATTCTATATGAAATCCTATCAGCATGTGGGTGGCGTGGGATGTGTGTGTGGCGTCGTGTACTTGGCACCTGGAGTTCCCGATGCCCCATGGCCTGTTCAGTGGCCTGCTGGCCTGAGGAATTTTTTTTTCATGTATTGTAGGCCTGAACGCAACGCTTCGCAATTTGGTCTGGACTCTGCCCTCATAAGAGGGTGAGCTGGCTGTCTACATGGATGTGGCCTGCCCTTTCATAGATCATACACTAAGGTGCACTCGATTGGTCTCTGTGTGTGCAGTCAACGCTCAGGGAGGTGTGTATGTGTGGCGCGAGAGAGAAAGCTGCTCTTGTGCACCGGTATAAGTGTGATGGTGTTAACATTTGTGCAGCTAGCTGCGCTAATCGTGGCATAGAACATGAGCTGTCACAAGCTGGAGGAGTCTCTCCTGTCAGACTGAGAGAACTGATCAATAGCAGCTCAGTGAGTAAAGGGACTCCTTGAGTGTTTAGATACTTAACTAGCTATTCTCAGCTGGGGCTTAACAACGGTTTTGTCACCATTCTTATCGTAAACACATATTCCCGATTGAGGGGATGATAAGTAAAAATATGCATGAATAATAAATTAAAAAAATTTAACTAGGTGAAAAAAGGCAAGATAAACTTTTAAAGTCTTTGCTGGTGCCTCAAAGAGGAGCAGGGGGGAGAGGAGGAAGACAGGTGGCTGATTCAGGAGCCCAGACACACTCACAACTTTAAATGAACCGAAAATGAATAAATAAACAAGTTTCAATGTTTTTTTTATATTGTATATGGTATGTTCTTGGTTATGGCCATGTTCTTATGATTTTATGATTATTTAAATGTATACAGTTCTGTTTCATATGGGTGTTTCCATAGATCTAGTCTCTTTATTTCCCCCTCAAAGTGCATCAGATTGATGCATTTAACTCCAAAATAAAATAAAAATATCTTACCGGGGGAGCATGCCCCCGGACCCACCTAGAGGATTTGAGGTCCACCCCCACTTAAAATATGTTCACATGGACAGGTTCCTAAATAGATTTTCACATTTTTTAAATAGTAACCCATGTCCATATGTTTATTATTGGGTAGTAGATTTAAACTATAGAGCTATCTCTATGGGCAGCAAAGCTGTAAATATTGACAAATAAATCCAGCATAATGGCACAAAAAAAAATGGTAGTGGCCTGACTGGGTGTATAATGTTTGAGTGTGTGCATGTGCGCACGCGTTAGTTTTAAAGACCCCCATAGAGCTCAGTTTATAACTCGAACCCTGATAAAGGCCATTTCTCTGCACAATTATTACATGTTATACTTTAAGTAGATTTAGCTAATAATGATGCTGTTTTACTTTTACTTAAGTAAGGATGCAGGACTTGTACTTGTAATGAAGTATTTTGACATGTTTTGGTACTATTACTCAAGAGAAGCTGAATTCTTCTTCCACCTCTGCACAGACTGCTTATCTTAATGAACTAGCTGGTAGCAGTAGCATAACGGTAGTGGATGTAAAGTGGAGTGAATCTACTGTGTCGCCACATACTTCTCTTCTCACCTTTTCTTTTGTTTCTGCTCCCTTGTGCTCAGATCACCTTTAAGAACGAGGTGGGGCAGTACGACCTGGAGGTGACCACCTTCCAGCTGGCCGTGCTGTTCGCCTGGAACCAGAGGCCCCGAGAGAGGATCAGCTTCGACAACCTGAAACTGGCCACAGAGCTGCCCGATGCAGAACTACGGCGCACACTCTGGGTGAGACTAGGGATCATTGAAATGCTCCATTTCAAACCAATTATATTAGAAGAAGACATTATAAGATATTTACTACTATTTAGCATGCTTAATGTAGTCTTTGCCACTCGTCAGTAAAAAAAATACCTCCTGCACCACAGAGCCACCACGCCATCTGCTGCAACTGAGATCAAACTCAAGTTTAACAGGACAGCCTTGCAGTCTACTTACCATTTACAAGGCTTACTGTTAATTGAATCGTGTTCTGTGTTTTCTGACAGCCATATATAAGTGTGTGAATGCTTACCATATGTAAAAGCATTTTCAGGGGTCGCAGAGACTAGAAAGCGCAGTATACAGTCTATTTACTAAGTAATATTAGTCATTGTGTATCTGATCAAACTTTTTTCAATGCAATCACACTGTTAATAAGTTGGCACTGATGGTGTTTAATATGTAAAGCTGAGCTCCTCTCTCCTGTGTGCAGTCTCTGGTGGCGTTTCCTAAGCTGAAGAGACAGGTGCTGACCTATGACCCCTCTGTCAGCACCCCCAAAGACTTCACAGACAGCACCATCTTCTACGTCAACCAGGAGTTCTCGATCATGTATGATATGGTATCTTTAGAAATAAGGACAATATTTTTTCTTTTCAAATGGGATGCAACTAACAGTCAATTATTTTCTTTATTGATTGATTAGTTTGTTGGTATAAATAAATGTAAAACGAATGCAGATCAGTCGTATGACCTCCTCTAATGTTTTCTTTTGTCCACAACTTACAGACATTCACATTTCTGTCAAAGAGGAGAAATAGTTTGCGTTTAATTCAACATTTGACGACTGATGAAGTTATCTTTGCAGTTTTCAAAAACAACACGTTTCTTGAACCCTGAGTAAAGTCTTTCATTGGTAAAACCTGAGAACCTGCACGTCCCCATTGATCCATGTTTCCATTCAGTCCAGAGACAGACGAAATGTTTCATTGTTTCCAAAGTCTGGTGCTCTTTGAATTATGTAAATAATTCTGAAATGATAATTATCACGAAATATGTAAGTTCTTATTCCCATAGAAAAACAGCAATCTCGGGTGTGCTCTACACCTAAACTCTTTAACCAGCACGTCAGCAGACGATGCAATGTTTGATATCTGTGACTGTGTCTGTCTTATTTTCTCAGCAAAAACTCCAAAGTCCAGAAGCGTGGAAAGATCAATCTGATTGGCCGGCTGCAGCTGACCACTGAGCGAATGAGAGAAGAGGAGAACGAGGGAATCGTTCAGCTCAGAATACTCAGGACTCAGGTACGAAAATACATGTTATAATACACATGGAAACATTCAAGCTATCCTCAAAAAGGTTAACAGGAAGTTTATTTCAAATACCAAGCTGGACATGATTTTGTGTTCACTTACAGTCCGGAAACATTGTAAAGGCTTTGTTTATTTTGTTTCTCATCCAGGAGGCCATCATCCAAATCATGAAGATGAGGAAGAGAATCAGTAACGCCCAGCTGCAGACGGAGCTGGTGGAGATCCTGAAGAACATGTTCCTGCCTCAGAAGAAGATGATCAAGGAGCAGATAGAGTGGCTCATCGAACACAAGTACATAAAGAGGGACGAGACGGACATCAACACCTTCCTCTACATGGCCTAGGAGCCAGGAACCATGGGCTCTGTTCTTATTTACCCCTGGCCTGTGAGCGGCGCTTTGAAACGCTATTAGAGGAGAAGGAAAAGAGGATGTGTATTGAAGGACGAGGAAGAGCATTTTCAACAAAAGTGGGGAGATTTCTGTGTTTGTGAGACGCCAGTGTGTTATGGAGGTGAGTGTCTGTCCTGCTGCCCTCTTGTGTTAGTGAGAGGAGAGGGCCGCTGTCTGCCAGCAGCTGCCATCAAACAGACAGAAATAATTCCTGCCTTACTTTGTCGGCCATGGACTGCAGAGGAGGAGCTGGGAGGAGGACGAGCTGATGCACCTCTCAGTAGCAGCCCTTCTGCATCCCTCCTATTCTACGTTTGTCTTATTTTTTGGAATAACAATGCAGAAAAACTGGGAGTGAGCGCTGAGAGCATTGAGGAGGAGAGGACACGGAGAAAGAGATTAGTTAAAACTACAGAGGAGTATTTTGCCAAACTGTGTGTGCGTGTGCGTGCGTGTGTGGGTTTGGTGTGTACTTTCAACAGCATGCTGCTCTGTGATTTGTTAATTGAAGGATCTGTCACAATTTGTGGTTGTGTCTGAGATGGTGGGGAAATCAAAACCAGACGCTAATGAAATGCTGGTTTTTCTTTAGGGATGTATAGAATAATAAATTACAAAGAAAGACACAAGTGTAAGAGAAAACATTGGAAATGAGCTGAGGTTAAGGAGGTCAAATGTACAAAAACACGACGAGAACAATATTCATAGGTCCCGCATGCTTAGAGGGGAAATGTTGACCCCTGCAGGCGAGCAAATGCAACCTTGATTAAAATCACAAATGTCACTAGTTTTGACGAATAAACAATGTAAACATTTGGGATAATGTAAGTATACGCAATGTTTAACATTGTTCATTTTTAGGCATTTCAATAGGGAAAATGTTACATAATACATGTCTTTGTTTTGTTCACCGGGTTGTGCACTTTCAAAAACTATTTTTTGGGCTGAAGCCGATACTGTCACCCCAAAATGGACAAAGTGTGTATTTTCACGCTTGTTCAGAAATGTCCCTGCGTTGTCGCTGCTCAGACATGAATATATGGATTTAAAGGGTGACTCCTCCATCAGGTGAATACAGGGTCTGTTCAGGGGGAGAATCAGCTGCTGAGTCAAAGCAACAATATCACTTGGGATTAAATACTTTGCATTACATAAACACTGCATTTTTAAAATGATTTAAAGCACACATTGTTCTCCCAAGTAATGCTACAATGTCATGTGACATGATTAGTGAGTGATGTGCGCTGACTGTATTTCTGAACACGAGAGCAGTGAAGAAGAAAGACAACCGTGAATGTGTGGGATTCAATTTGTTTTATATTTACTCTATATTTATAAAGAATGTGACTTTCTTTGTATTTGAAAAGTTTTCTTTTCCATGTTTTGTTTTTGGAAAGGTGTTCATGAATATGGCTGATACAGTATGAACTCCTGTGTGCAAACTTCACTTAAAAGAAAAGGCACAAATATTTCAGTCTAATTTAAATCATTTCCCACTATGAATGATTTGACTCAGGTTATTCAAATGCTGAAATAGCTTCTCACTTCCTGTAACTAGAACAAGGAAGTTGGTAATAATCACATTTGCATTTGACCCACTTGAAAGCCAAAATAGTTGTGTTTTCAGTATGAACTATTTTCGTATGTGCTAACATATAATAATTATTTTATTTTTGAACTGAGATGAAACAAACCCAACTCGATCCCATTATGCAGGTTTATTCTCTATGCACCGACGTGGCTCAGTTTTGAGACGATGTTCTGTTTGAAAGTGTTATCATCATGGAGCACAGTGAGATGAGTCCCAGGAAATAAGGACTTTTTGGAATTTCAATCATTCATTGATGTGATCGACCCCATAAGCGCTTTAAAGGGTTAGTTGTGATGTTTGGAAGAGGGGTTGTGGCAGGTAATTATCCGTCAGTGTATTACTCACACGTTCATGACCCAACGTATTTAAAACAGCCACAGGAAAGTCTCAACCTTAAAATATCAGTTTTCTGCGCTGTCTTGAGCCACTTGCTGCAGTTACAGCTCACCAAACACAATAACACCAACGAGCCAATCAGTTTATCAGCAACTGCAAACAAACTGTTTTTCGTCAAAGAAGTCTGGAATCGTATCTCAACAACTATTGGAAAGTATTACATTTATGGTTCTGGTATTTATCTTCAGATGAATTATAACAACGTTGATCCCGTGGTCTTTCATGAGAGCGTGCTGCTGTACACTGAAACTGCTGCAGCTCAGCAGCCTAGTCTAGACTGATGCAGACTGAGGGTTTCTCAATCGCAAGTAAAGCTGCTCCAGAGCCACTATTTCAAGCATACTACGTCATCGAGTGCCGCCGAAGTACTGTTCCAATGTCCAGCATACTTGGAATTCTACCGAGCCCGGCGTACTTCGTTTGGAAACATTTCGAGGCTGCACATGAGTAGACTCTGCGGTCTTAAAATCCCCACAATGCTTTGCGCACGGATCAATTTCGCCAAATCTGGGAGAAGGGTCTAGCTGCGGCCGCGGACAGTACACAACACTACACGACACGCCCACCTGACACGACACTACGGTGGCTGAGAGGCACTGCCGTTAAAAGCGAATTGACGGGATTTACATCATACAGCCCATGTAGTATAATATTTTACAAATGATGAATTACAGCAAACATGTGCAATATATCCATTATTACAGCTCCGTGGGCTGGCAGTAAGTCGATATGGTCCGTTGTTATTGTGCATCCATGGGTAAAGAGAAACTCATGTAGTACTGAACACGTAACATGAACGTGCCGGGCGGCGCGGTCCCTTGGGTTAGATGCGCGTTCATAATGCAGAGGAAAATAACTCTCAGAATAACTTTATTAGCAAATTGTACAACTTGAGGAACGAGTGTTTTTAATAAGGGCTTTGGTCGACACTACACGACACGCCCCCTACACGACACGCCCACCTGACACGACACTACGGTGGCTGAGAGACCATACATGCAGATTAAAAACGAATTGCAAAGGTTATTGTAGCATTTTAAGCAACTATTAGGCAAATTAATTAATTACCTATCTGCTTGAGAACCCCTTGGAACCTCTTATCCCATTTTGATGGTTGACATCTCATTTGAAATGCTTGTCATGTAGGCATACTGGAGATGGAAAGGCTTTAGTCAGTGTTGTAGCTGAGATTCTTACCGTTCCAATGATGTATGGGATGTATTAATAATAATTGGATACTTGGATTTATATAGCGCCTTTCATGAGACCCAAGGTCCCTCTAAAAAGAAGAACAGGAGTAGAAACAAACATAACAAAAAGGCAGTCAGACGAACAGTTACAGTAGACAGACAAAACAACAAATAGATTTGGGGCCAAAGGCCTTGACAGACAGCTGGGACTTGAGGGCCCTTTTGAAGGCGTCAAGCGTGGGAGATGTTGCAGATCTCCGCAGGGAGAGCGTTCCAGAGAGTGGGGGCTGCCATACTGAAGGCTCTGTCCCCGAAGGATCGCAGGTTGGTGCGGGGGGCCAGAGTCTGAAGACCGCAGGTTCCGGGGTAGGGCATGTGGGAATTGTATTGATTTGATACAAGCAAGCCAGTGTTTCATTGTGTTTTACTACAGTATATGGTCCGGCAAGTTCAGCATTCACTGTGATGTGTATAAAATAAGACACTGATACCGTTTTCCTCAATGAACATTTATTGAACAGAACATCATGTGGAAAATCAGAGCTGGTCAACTTAAAAAATATTGACCTGCAGGAGTTTAAAGCCTATTTAAAAACTCCTCGGAATCTTTCACAAGTCCTTCAGCCTTTGGTGCGCTTCCTCACTCATTGTTCTTGGTGAGGTCATGAGAACAAAGTTCCATCTCACTGATAAGACAAGATGGTATAAAGAAGTCATATATGTAATATTATAAATTCACATGCATCAGGGGTTGTACACTTTAATGTGTATATTCACTAACCGACTCTTTAGGAAGGAAGCTGTAAGGCCTCCTGTTATAGGAGTGGTCCTCGTCAGTGTCCAGGGGCATCTGTAGACAGTCAACCATTATTTTGACATCCACGGTTTAACTCCTCCAAAAATGATCCAGGCTCGATTCAGAATGACACAGTACCACACAAAACAAATGTTGCATGTACCATAAGTTCTATGTAGTATGTGTTTTAGGAGTAGTAACCCACTACCACGTCTGTGAGAATCCCTTCATCATACACAATAGGTGAATTGGTGGCCAGAGGGCTGTACGTCAAGGACTGGACATGGACGCAGTCAAATCCGACTCGCCCACTTCTCCGAGCATAGTCACATGCCCTGTTGCACGTTTCCAACTGACAGGTGATACCCAAGTTAGATTTTTGGACATTAATACAGTGCACAGGACCCTTAAAGGTCCTGGAAACTGCAAAAAGTCCCCTTTTTTTATATATGCACTGTGATTTTAGGTGGCGATTTGCTGTGATGTCCGATGTTTTGGATGAGTGGTGCCTTTGTAGGTTTTTCCTTTTTAGTTGTCGGCTATAAAAACAACATGTTGTGGTTTTGCGCTTTGACATCAACATTTTGGGGGCTGTGGAAATATTGTGCCATGTTGCTGCAGCCATCACTGGAGCGGCCGTCGGGGCCATCACTGGAGCGGCCGTCGCGGCCATCACTGGAACGGCCGTCGGGGCCATCACTGGAGCGGCCGTCGCGGCCATCACTGGAGCGGCCGTCTGGGCCATCACTGGAGCGGCCGTCTGGGCCATCACTGGAGGAGTCGTTGTGGTTGCTGGGGCCGCCGCCAACGTAGTTGGATGTTCGGTGCAGCAGTTTTTAAAGTGACTAAAGAACATCTCCTTTCTCCCAATTATTGTTGGGCAAAAGCCACAGTGATAATGGCTGCTGGCCACACATTTGAGATGGCATTTATAAACATTATAACCTAAAAAGAGACAGAAAGTGGTTTAGAGGATTCTAGAAACAAACCAAAATGAATTTCTTGTAAATATGCTTTTTGAATCAAGGTGTTTGTGCGAGAGCAATAAATAATCATTTCACCAACAATAATATTTTTGCCTTTAAACTGAATTTTTGCAGATTGAATGTGGGATTATGCTCATATTGTGCCTACCCCAAATAACGATACTATTCGAGCATTATTAACAATTCATAACCTGAATCTAATTTGTAATGTTCAATTTCTAATTCAAAATTAATTTACACCAAGGATGTCCTGGGGCACAGAAATAACGCATGTATCCATAATGAGTGAGGCATTAAACATATCTAACAAGTAACATGTAATGAGATGAAGTATACAATGATCATATAGAATTATAGATTTACTTACCTCCATATTTCACAAGTGACCTCTGGTGGCTCTGCAAATGAGCCATCAGACCAGGGTGTTACCCGGTCCTTTCACAAAATGGACACTGGAAGGTGTCCGAGTCCAATTTGTTGAGCTCTGGGCGTGCTCAATCACGGAGTGTTGTGTTGTTTGTCTATAGGTGAATAAAATAGAATACAATTTAAGTGACTTTAATATTGGAAATAGTTAACTCCTTAAACAAGCAGCAATGGACTGGCCTGTATAATCCTATGGGACAAAGCTGGTCATACTTCCTCACTTTCAGAAGGTAACCCTTTAACTGCCAGCGCCACCATTTGGTAGAGCACATTTTGTGTCTTGATATCTTGTTGAAAAAAAAATAAAGTTTAACTCCATCTGATTCAGCCAGCTCTACTCTTTGGTTGATATGTTATAAAACAACCTCTAGATCTCACTGTGGTTCGAACAGAAAGCCCTTCAGCTAGTTTAAATGTCAGGCCAACAGCATGGCCACAAACCCCATCTAAAAACAGAGGCTCTGTCCTAATTACCTGATTGCATCCACCTGTGTTACTTGGCTCTACCCAAAAACTATCATTTAACTTTAAACCACACTTAAAATAATAATATAATTATACATATTTACATGTCT